GCTCTTGAGATAGGATGTAAATTTGAATCATTTTTCATCAATTTTCCTACTTATAAGCATGATAACTAGAATGCATTTCAGAGTCACAAATCCAAGCAATTGAAATCCTTTCTTTAAGCTTATGTTTAGTGTTTTCCATTCAGTTCAGCTCAGGACTGAGTTCCTCACATAAAGACGTGTTTCGGACTGCCTTGTCAGGAGCTCTTTGCGGAACAAGTGCAAACCCTTCTATAAAATGCTGCTGTGCTTGCAGCAATAAATCAATTACACCAGTTTCATAAAAGCAAAGTGAGTCACCTTCTTCCAGTGAGCCTTTTTGGTTTTGTCTTTCAAATATAAGACCTGTTGCTGTTGGGATACTTCGCTTTTGAGGCTCCAAATAGCTTTGTGGCAAGCAGCTAGTGACCTTCCAGCTATGTTTGATACCATTTCTTCTACTTTGAGAGAAACTGTGTCCCAGGAAGAAAGACATTTGGAAACCTTGTATTGACATCAACTGAGTTCCACCACTGCTACAAAGCATAGCTGAATTTGGATTAGAATCCAAGTCATCTCAGGTGATGATAATAGCGTTATGGTTGTGTGATTTGGCTAGACAGAGACAAATCCCTCCTTTCACTGCACCAGTCATGGTTAGGCTTAGCCTCTGCCTACAAATGATTGCATCACATTGGATGTTTTAGCTTCTTCGTTTCCTGTACTGACGTGACAGTATTCCCTAGGGAAGACAACCTTTTATGATTATTAGTTAGTGCTTTGACCCTGAGACTTCTGTTGGCAGCCCCTTAACGATGGAGAGCAAGTGAAAACAGTGCCATGCTGCTGCCTTGTGTTTAAGCTCCTTGATAGCGATGCTACCCTTACACAGACTCTACAGCCTACAAAAATCCAGCTGAGATGTAATGAAAACATGAATTAATGATTTCATATCCTTCTGTGAGAGTCCTGGTCTCAGCTTTGCTGGTTCCTAGAGATGCCAGCATGACACTTCTTTTAATATACTCCAAGTAAAAAATTCAATGAATGACCTAACTTTATGTTCAAAGTGGCATCAGTATAAAACTGGCAACTCAGATTCAATGTGTTTTTGCAGATTTTTAACCCCAGGAAATATTCAGAAATACAGGGCTGACTGTCACTTTGATGTGTAGGTGAATCAGCAACAGTTTCCTTGGGGTCTTACGAGACTGAAAAACGAACTTTTCTGTCAGCTTCCTAACAGTGGGTTCCTGCTGACATGGAGCAGCACAGAGCTGCTCCTCCAGGACGTCAGTACATAACCAGGCTGGGCAAAAACACTTAACTGAAGTGTGGAAAACAAAACAAAACAAAAGACCGAAAACATTTCAGACACCAATAAATCTTCAATGCTTGAAATAAGTCAACAAACCTGCTAGGAAGAAAAAAAACCCCAACCCAATAACCCAAGAAAAATATCCTGAACTAATTTCTCAGCAAAAGATTTCAGAAGACCATGTTTTCACAGTGGTTTCCAAGTGAAAAGCAAGATGTACTGTCATTGCTCCTACAGAAGCTTTCACTGAGAAGTGGTAACCTTATTCCAGAGACAAAATGTTCAAAACTAGTTGATGCTTCCAAAGGGAAATAAAGCTGCTTTTCTGCCTCAGAAATCCTGCTGGCTGCCAGTGTTGACACAAAACTCACTCTTGACCGAGCTCCTGAATGCTCAGCAAGCTCAGTAGGGTGGTGTAGTTGTTTTGTTTATTTATAAGCATGGCCAGTTTCCTACTGTAGCTGCTACCACATTTAAATGATCTTGGCAAGAGCAAGGCGTACGGGATACATTCTGAAGAAGGACCATGTCATTGCCTGGCAGACAATTTCCTTTTTTTTTAAGCCCCAAACACATCCTTCCAGCCTCTGCTAAGTGTTATTATTTCTGCGGATATTTGAAGCAGGTAAAATGGTAGGAGAGCTAGAAGGGAGATAAACAAGGAGTGTGGAAAAAAGCCTCACACTGACCTTGAGGCAGAATACTGAGGGCTCTCCAGACAGGCTTTTCTTCCTCAGTACAACCACTCATGGCAGACAAACACATTACTTAGAATTTCTGCAAGCTATTGTAAAAGTCATAGCATTTTAGCATCCCAGAAAGCCAAAGAGGAAGTCTTTTTAAAGTTAAGGATCCATAGTAAGTCTACAGGCAGAACATTGGCATCTAAATCTATCTGAATTGACCTTCAGAGGAAGCAGAAATGTCTTTCAGGCCAAGCTTATGAAAATGAACCACCTAGTTATGTGAGGAGCCAGAAAAAAAAAATCCAAGTTACTTGGAAAGTTTACAGCATTCAAAGTCTAATGCAGCTTGCTAAGAGAGTCAATAAGGCTGGGAATGACCGATGGCCCTAGAAAGGACAGTGGTGGTGAACACCAGGAAATGCATGTTCCAATTAACACTTTTTATAAGAAGTCTTCATCTCAAGTTTTAATGAATATTCTGCATTTCCTCTGTTTTCCAGGCAAGAAGTCAAGGGGTTTTGTGTTTGGGTTGGTTTTGTATGGGATTGCATGTTACTATGGAAGCTACAGAGGTTTCATGCTCTGTCTTACTGCAAACATTTTGGGTCATTTTTCCCCTTCCCTACTTCACTCTTCTGCATACTACTCAGTGCCTCACAAGAGCAAAGCTTTCTAAGCACAGACACACCATTTTCATAACCAACTGGTCCCCACTAGTAAATCCAGCAGCTTAAATGCTCAGTGCTTCTGTGTAGTCCGAACACCTCACACTCCTGTTCATCCCTCCCTTCTCAATCCTGCTGTCTCATTTCCCAACGTGCAGAGGAAAGGGTGAGTTCTGCAGTGCTTGGGGAACACTTGTCCCTGAACAGTGCTATTTGAACTGATGGAGAAAGCAAACCCTGTAGTGGTGAATCCCTCTCAAACTGCGCCCTTCTGGCCACTGCTTCTTATCTGCACAAGTAGAGCTCACCTCAAGTGCCTGCACCGTGGGGCACAGCAAGAGGTGGTCTCTGTGGCAGATTCATCCTGGCAACTTGTAGCTTCAAAAACATGAAGTCCACATTTTAGATTTCACCTGGCATCATCACTCTGGAGCTCACGCTGGCCATGCGTTAGCTATTTCATATGATTATGATGGGAAACTCCAATTAGCAAGTAACGAATGTGTTGATTTTAAAGTCCACCTAGACAGCACTTTCAGTGTAGTGTATATTCTTGCTATTCGTTGATCAGTGCATTGCTTATGATTTGGGGAGGAAATGAATTAGTGAAATTGCTTAAAAGCCCCACACTGTGAATGTCAGCCACAGACCCATCTCAAAATAATGTGATTTTAAAATTCATCCTAGACACCTTCTGCAAAGGACAGTTCTGAAATCATGCTTCCCCCCCTCTGACTGGGAATTAAACTACAAATGCTTTGCGTAAGTCAGCTAGTTTCTAGTGTCTACATTCAATAAGAAAGTGTCATTGGAATATGCATTTTGGGAACCTGCTTGCTACAAATCACTTTACCAACTGATCCACAAATGACATGCCATCTAGGAACCACTTCAACAGCTGCTGAAATTCAGCTGTTTCTGGAACAAACGATGACAATTGCTTACAGGACCCTAACAGCAGAACTATGTTAGACATGCAGCCACCAGTACAGCGCCAAATGCAAGCAGATGAAAATTATAAATTTTCACACTGTTAGAACTTGCTCTCAGAGTTATCCAGATTGCTCAAAGTTTTGTCTGCACTAGGCTTTTTTTTTTAAAGTTATCGATGAATTATGAAAACCAAGCCAACATAAAGTTCTTCTGTTAGCATGTCCTAGCTGGATGAGACAACTTAGAAATATAATTTATTTTTACCTGCCAGAGTTTTAGAAAGTGTCAATGTGATAGAACAATTTTGGGCAAAAAAAGCAAAAACCACAAAAGAAAGCAAACTTCTCCATTCCTGCTTTATTTTACTCTGTAGAAACTCTCTGCTCAAACTATTCCCATCCTGTGAAAAATCATGCACCATTCACAGCTGCTCAGTAAGCAAACATGTTTTATGTACTTGTGAACTAAAAAATCGGTAATTATTATATTGATATTAGAAAAAGATACAGGTATCAATGCTTGTTTATGGTTTGCAAACGGTTTCTATGCTGTTGAGTGAACTATAACTTACACTCCCAATAGGGACTGAAATAAAGGATAATCTTCAGGTCTTCTGTGTACTGTTATTAGTATATTGTACCAAAAGTTTGTGTGTTTGTTAGGGTTATTTTTATAAGCATTTGTTCATTTGTTTGTTTATCTTCAGCCTCATTAAAAATTAGCATATTAAGCAGATAAAGTGGATTTCAGGTTGGTCAGTTTTACTCCTGGCTTCAGCAACTATCCAGAATCTGAACCTGACTTTCCCCATACTCGATGATACAGAATCAACACACAGCTAGAGAGATGTGCATCACTAAAAAATAGCCTTTCCCTGTGGAGCCACCCTTTCGCTATATTCGCAAGCTCTTTGCAATGGAATAACCAGAAGCCAGATACTAGTTTCAATTACAGTGACCTGATTTACCTGTCATCTAAGCAGTGACTTTAGGTTTACCTCACTGTAATGGAGATGAGAGTCTTTACTAAATATTCCATATATGCAGCCATATAAATGTTTATACTAACTAGTAAGTGAGAACCAGACTAACATCTTAATGTGTTTATTTCCATTTGTCTATTCCATGATAAATTTATTGCAATGATAAGTGCTTTTTCTCATGTCTTCACTTTATTTTCACCTTTGTTCTTCAAGAAGGTTATTGATTTCTCTCCTCTTCAAACGCCAAATGATCTGGCAAGTCAAAGGGGACCATTTCAATGGTGAGGAGTGGATCAGGACATAACTCTGAATAGCAGAACTAAAGAAATGCCATTTCTGGGTGAGCCTGTTGTCACGTTAGCAGTGCTGTTGTATGTGAAGAACCCCAAACCCTCTTCACGTACTACTGTCAAAGGCAGTTGGTGTGAAGAAATGCCTACCTGAAGACGGCAAGGCTCAGGGACCAGAGCACTAGTGGTTTCCTCAGTTCAAATTTTGCTCGTTTGTTCATTAGGTGCCGACCACCAAATATAAAGGCAGCATACAGAGCTGAAAATAGGAAGGATTTCTTCCTGCAAAACAAAACCAAAAAACACCTGTCAAGTATTTAATTACTATTAGATACACAGCAGAGTCGCATCTGGACATAACTGCCAAGGGCTTGTTTCCTTGAAAGGAAACTCTTTTGAAGACACTCCTGCAGCCCGGTTGAGATTATCTTTAGTGTATGAACCTACATGCCTGCACATAGGGCCAGGGCCAGGTGCAGGCAAAGCTGGCGCTGGGGAAGTTCTGAAAAAGGACAGCCAAATTTGGCTCCCATTCTTCCCCAGTTTCTGAAGACTGAACTTCTGTGAGAAACAGAATAGATATTGCAGAGCCCAGACACTTTTCTGCAAGCACAACACGGTTGACACTTGAACCAGCTGATCACGTTTTGTAGCTCATTTATCTTTTTCATATCAATTTTTGTTTCCCGCAGGCTCCTTGCTACCTGGCAGTTTAGTTTCCCATTGTTTCCTCCAAGATGACACTTAAACTTGAGCACTGCAACACAACATGAAGAGCCTCATGAAAAGTGGAGAACCAGCGAGGAGAGGTCAGTAGCCCCATTAAGCAGTGACCCCATTAAGCAGCGTGGCATCGTCCTGCTGCACAAGGCCTGCCTGTGAATGCCAGTTCAGGAAATCCAGTGAATTTGCTGAAAGGTCAAGCAGAGCTCTGTTCAGGAACTTCAGTGATACTTTTAGAACCACAATTTTTATTTTTAAAACTGCCTGATAGTAGTCCAGCCAGCAATAATCAGCAAACATTTGAACTCTGCTACTATAACTCATTGTACATCAACCATTAGAGGTCAAAAATAGATTCAGCCTGGATTCCTTCCCACACAGCACAATATTACACTGACTAAGACTTAATGATGGACAGCATTAATGGTGGCCTAACTGGATGGGCATATATTTAGGAACAGATTTTTCTCTAAAATCTTCTCCCTTTTGGCAAGGGATATGTACAGCACAGCACAGTCCTGAAGGCCAAGCAATACGTGCAGAACAGTACAGCACAGCACAGCGCGTGTCTGCGCATGCTCAAGGCAACTGCTACATGGATCGCAAGCTTCTTGATAGACAAGGGTCTTCCCATGAGGTCCATGAAAACTAAGAAAAGCTGTAGTAGCACATCTGATTGGAAGTACGAAGAAAGCACATGCAGCCTTCACTGGAGATAAATGAGTTTTACATGAGCTTGAAAGCCAAGTAAAAACGAAGTCCAAAGAGACAAAGGCATATCAGTATGCCTGCAGCAGCACACCATTTTCTGCCCACTAGAAACTCCTCTGTTTCTATTGACGTGTTTATAGCTCTGTGTTGCAAAACATGGGTAATTGCATGAAAATCCAACTGGTGCTCTGCACTGAGAAGGGTGGAGCCAGTGCTTGTGGTCCCCTGGGTGAGCTTTAGCATCCGCACTGGCAACAAGCCCCAGGGTGACCACAGAGCCAGCACCCTCTCACCTTGCGCACTGAGATGGTCTAATTGCCATGGCAATGTTTATCACAACCGGGTTTTGAAAACCACAAAGCCTCAACTCTTATTCATCGCATAATAAAGAAAAAAGCATTCATTTTCACTTCTATGGTCTTGAATTTCACAGTCAGGGAAGGGGCAGAATTACCACATTTGAATAGCATGATTGCTGTTTAGCTTGGCTGGAGGTCAGTAAATATTTGTTAACCAGTTTGGATAGTGATGAACCACCTCAAACTTGCTCATACTGAACCACCTAACTGTTAAGATAAGATTTATAGGTTACGAGACAGGAGCAGACTCTCAGTGTGAGAGGTCGGACCGTGTTCCCATCTCCTTCCCTCTGCAGCCTCTTCAGCAGCGGTGTGCAGAGCAGCCCACCTCCAACCTGTGCGTGGGCGAGGGAAGGCAGAGGGAGTGTGATGGGCTGTACCACAGCCCGCAGTGCTGTCCTGGCTGCCCCAGGGCATCGGGAGAGACATCCGCTCTGCATGCTTCTGCCCTTTCGATCCCACAAAAGTCTGGGCTCACAGCGCCCAGCGCAGACACACAGCAATGCACACAACGAGGTATGGAGATACGCATACGCACGTAGGGCCTCTCAAGCCAGGTCCTGCGCAGGGGCCCCACAGGAGGGAGCCTGCAGCCCCACGCCACGAGGGAGGTGCAAACCCCCCACCGTACGGCACTGCACTGGGAGTCCCTCACACCAGAGGCAGGAAAGGTCTGTCTTGCACTGGTCCATGCAAGGAGCTCCACAGCAACCGAGAGCAGTGCAGGATGACATCTCGAGCAGGGCAGGATGGCATCTCTGTCCAGGGGAAAAAAACTGCGACAGTACCGCCACGCGGCTGCCAAGAGGACACGGGCTCCACGGGCTGGCCCGGGAGGAGGTTAGGATTTAAGAGCAGTAGCTAGAGATACTTTGCAGGAAGGCAGGTGGGCAGGAAGCAGTTCAGTTCTGGATCAAATACAGCCAAAACTTCAAAGTAATGGTTCGACTTCAGTTCCAATTCAAGAAGAAAAGACCAGTCTGAATGAGTTAGCAGCTCAGCTCTGTGCTCTGTTTGACTCCCTTCTTCCTGGGCAAGATACTCCATATTTACACCAAGTAACATTTCGTTTTGTTCCTTACTACTGAAACTATTTTTTGTGAGTTCAGTCAAGTCTATGGAGGTCAATAGTTCCATTATACTAATTAGAACAAAAGATAAATTTTAGGTCACTTTTAACAGCTTTGTAATGAGTTTAGCATTATTTGCAATGATGGTAAATGGTATTCCCACAGTATACAGCTCTGTATTGGCAGTGGCAGACACGAGAAGATTTGACTGCAGGCATGATGTGAACTGCAGAGAGCAGCTGTAAGCAGACAAGGAGAGATGCAGTTGTATTATCTCCTATCAGAGGTAAGCACAATACTGAATAATGATTAGGCTGATTTTGAAATCACCTCTCTGTTTTGACACCTGCTGACAACTTTTGATAACTTTTTGCATCCAAAGGACTTGGAATTTTCCCCTCTTTGGAGCATAATAATGGTTAAAAGGACTGGGTAGTCCAGATGATATAGTTATAAAGGAGTTGCAGAGGTATGTACTCTTAAGATAATCTGTTTAACTGCATTAGACTGGTATTAACCAGCTTCCTGCCAGTGTTTTTATGATGGATTTTCCTGAAAGGTTCATGACTACAGTCTGGTTCCTGGGCTGGTGACACAAAGCAATGGCAATCTGACAGCATTCAATTATATCTGATATGGTTTTAGCCAAAGGAGGTTAATATCAAATGAGCATTTTTAAAGACAGAGTTTTGGAGTTGTTCTGGAGCACTGTAACTTCTCATTACTGTTATCTGAAGAGAAACTAAATAGAGCAGAACGACGACAAAAAAAATTAACCTTGAAACTAAAAAAATAAAAAAATCCCCCAAAGTAATTCAGTAGCAGACTCACATCCAATAACTTTAACGTTAGCACATTCATGTGTTTGTCTTCAATTCTGTTCTGCAGGGTAACACAGTAGACATAAAGACAGGGCTGCCAAATCCTCCATATTTTTCTGGCATTTCTGTTTCTCACAGTTGTCTCCCACCTTCCTACATTTTCAGACTTCAGGGACTAAGTACTATCTCTACTGAATACAACTCCATGTTTCCCCGTCAAAAGTTGCCAGCTCTTTCCCCCAAAAGGGAGGCAGGGGAATTTTCTGGAGAACCTATAAAACGCTCTGCTTGGGCTGGGGGTTACTACAAGAAAGGGAGGCAAGAATTTGGGGCAACAGGCTGAAGATGTGAGGCAGATCTTCCAGGACGCTAGCACAGAGGTGGCCATATCACGAGGCAAGGGGACAGGCAGAAGCAGCTGACACGATGGGAGAAACAGAAGAGGAAGGATGAATGGTAAGCAGGGCAGCAAATGAGGGGAGCTGGTGGCCAAGAGATGGACGTGAAGCTGGAACAGCATGGAAGAGAAGGAGGCTTGAAGTCCTTTCTCTGCTGAAGCCCCTACAAGGATGCTTCTTGCACCCATAGGCACACCAATGGGCTCAGGCTACCCACGCTGAACACAGAGCTTTGGTCACTCTCCTGCAAAAATCCTACAACAGGGACGGGTGGTATTATCATCCCCTGGACCACAGCCCACAGGTTCTGCTTGTCCCTCTACACTATGTAAACTATAGGCAGGTGATGTGTTTTATCGAGGATGGATGAAGGTTTGGGCACTCGTGCTTTTTAGAAGCTGAAATCCTTTATTACGTCTGCCCTATGGCAGAGGAATGGAGAGAAGAAAGAAGAAAATGAAAAGAAGTATAATTGAGAAGAGGGAGGCAGAAACTGGGGCTGATAAAGGAAGACAGAGGAAATCCACCCCACTAGGAACAAAGCTTCTCCTCGTTCGCAGCTGGGGAGTCCCACCCAGGAAAGCCCACTCAGGCACCAAGGAGTGACAGGGAGAGATCTGCCATCCAGTCTCAGGCAGGAAAACACAACATGGAAAGGGGCAGCAAATAATCCAAAGTAGAAAGCAACAGTAAACAGATGGCTAAGGAGTAAGAAATCCTGACTCCCCCAGAAATATGTTATTTATAAAATACCAAAAGTATAAGAATTACCACAGCATTCTAAAATAAGGGGCCAAAGCCTGAGGGTGGGCCTCACGCGCAGCAGCGCAAGACATCCCGGTCTCTCTGATTCAAAGCGAAATAGCCCTGAATATTGCAGTGCTGCTGAAGGAGGTGGTTTCAGCCCAGATGCACTGCTATCATTTTCCCCTGAAAATAGCAGCCTGAGTCATTATTGTAGAGTTCTCTGATGTTAATGAGTAAAATGAAACAGATATAGGTATGTGCTATAAAATTTAATATTTCCATAGCATTTTCTTTAATCATTAAGGAAAATCCTTATAGAAATGCAGAAAGGACAACCTTATCATAGATCTTTTAACTACCCTCTATCATGTAATACAGGATTATCCTCATAACAGCATTCAGTAGGGGAGTAGTAAAGTGAAGCAGTGCTAGTCCCCTCTATTTACA